GTTAGGTATTTTAAATTTCACCAGTCTACAACTTGTGTAATTTGGATTTTAGTGGACGTTTATAGACATTATTTGCAAGGCACAATTTATAGCTTGGATATCAGTGACTTATAATCACTGGCTTTCTTAATACCATTCCCATTTTCATACTGTAGCTGTATTTATAATGAAACAAACAAAATTCCTCATATGAGAATGCCTGCTTTAAGAAAACCCAGTATTCCATAGTTCTGACATACAAAGCAGATAAATTAAGGGGTGATTAGTCGCAGAACGAAAGGATTCTTTGATTTACAGCAGGATCCATCAGAAGGGTTTCTTTGAATACAAGCTCCCCCAGAGAGCTGAAGTGTTTTGCAGATCATTCAAACCACTTGACATCCAAACTGGGGGTCAGAGAAACTTGGAATTTCAGTGTGGAAAAGCCATCATTAATTGAAGAGGTACAGAAAATGAATAGAGAGATTTTCTGTTATTTAAACAATAGAAAAATATAATTTGCTTTTTAGAAATGTAGAAAACGTATACATGCTATAAATATGGCTAAGCCAGACATAATATTTCCCATTATGTATGGAGCACCTACAATGTGCCAGGAACCATACTGAACTCTGTGAATATATTATTTTATTTCTACCAAATTCTGCTAATCTTCTAAGGCAGATTGCTTCTATTTCACAAACGAGGCCCTGAGGCTCTGGGAGCCTTCTACCCAAAGCCATGGCTTTAGTAATCGGCAGAAAACAGTTGCCAATCCAGGTCTACAAGGCCCGTGCTTCTCTGTGCTACCCCCACTAAGCACAGAGTGTGCCCACTGGCGATGCCTCCAGGCACGTCGCCCTTGCCCGATGCTCCCTGCCCTCCCTCAGGGCAGCTTTGTTAACATGTTTGTTCAGTTACCGAAGGCCAACCTTTGTGAATGAAGATAACCAGACCCTGCCTATCCCACTGTGACACACACCATGGCAAAAATTGCTCCCGACTTCCAGTTGGGGCCAGCTGGGAGAACAGAACCTGTGGGTGCCCACGGCAGAGGCAGGAGCCGTGGAGAGGCACGTTCAGGCCGTGCTGGGTGGGACCTGGGCAGGCAGGTGGAGCGGCGTAGCCCCGGGGGTGGCGGAGGTCAGAGGCAGAGGAGTGGTAGCGTGATGGGGCATGGCTTCGTAAGGAGCAGAGATTCCGCAAGCCGTCCCAGTGATGGCGACGGGCAGCCGGGCGGGCTGACGAAGAGGCCTGGCCACGGAAAGGTGCCAGAGAGGAACTGGGGCCCAGGGAGGGGGTGTCAGAACAAGATGGTCAACCATTTGAGAAGAATTAGGATACTAGGCAGGTTGCCAAGGCAGAGACACAGAAAGACAGAAACTCAGTTTCTCCAGCTGAGGTTGGTACTCTGTTACTAGAACTGGGGCACAAGACCAGAGTAGGAAAAGCAGAAAGGCTGACGCAGCCCTTAGGTTTTGGCTTATGATTGCTTGCATTTCTCCTAATGACTAAGAGGATTGGTGTCTCATCCGGGAATGGATTTGGCCCTCCAGGCAAGGGTCAAGTGGGCCTCAGTATTGGATTCGAGGGTTAGGGGAAGAGCAATGCCGAATGTTTTATATTTTCCCGGTGATTTGGGCTTATTATATATTCACTAAGTCTATGGAATGGCTGATTAAAGAAGGAACCTATGACCTGTTTGGGTGGCTCAGTTGGCAGGAGCATCGTCCTGTACACCAAAGAGGTTGTGGGTTCAATCCCTGCTCAGAGCACATGTTTAGGTTGTGGGTTCAGTCCCCAGTTGGGGCGCCTGTGGGAGGGAGGCAACTAATTGATGTTTCTCTCTCACATCTCTCTCTCTCTCTCCTCTCCCTTCCTCTATCTCTAAAATCAATAAACATATCCTTGGGTGAGGATTAAAAGAAAGAAGAAAAAGGAACCTATACGGATTAAATGAATACTTTAATAGATTTTCCCGTTGAGCATTGGCAAGTGGTACTTAAATTTCATAGCAATTAAAGAAGTATATGGGAAGTAATTAGAATAACTGGTTTCTAGCCTTAACTCTTCCACTTACTAGTCATGCTTTGGGCAAATTACTGACCATAATTAAGCCTGATTTTCTTCAACCTATGAAATAGCAATGATAATACTGATGTTATTTTAATACTACCATCAATAAGAATATCTCCAATTTATTAAGCATTTTTTTTTTTTTTAGTCAGGTACTGTGCAAAGCCCTTTAAATACAACATCTCATTTAACTGTTGTGAGGGATAAATGTGGCATCACAGTCAAAACACCTGGCCCAATGCGTGGCACACAGCACGACACACACACACATGGAGACCCGTGTGCGTACTGATGCACGGGAGGGTGTGCACTATTAAGGGTAAGCGTGTAATTAGTGTTTTAGAGGGTAGGAGAAGGAGTGCCCATGTGGACGGGTAAATGAGAGAGACCTGGGCCAGACTGGGAGAAGAAACCAGATGACATATCATCGATGTACCGTAGGCCATTTTTTTTGAGAGCCCATCGCCCCTAGTCCCGTGTTAGCGTGGGCCAACAGAAGAGGGCTTCTACCAGAGCCGTGTCCATCCCGCTCACATTTCTCCGCCTTCTGCGCACATGCTGAGCAGCATAGACTGATTCTGCTAAATGAGGGAGCATTTGCATGTAATTGTCCTTATTTGATAATTATTTTCTAAGCACCTCACAAGGCCCTGCCTGGAATTCAGATGCAACTAAGGCCTAGCACCCATGAACTGTAAAGAGAGGAACTGGTGTTCAGAGTGAAAATGTTCTTCTTAGGATCTTCTACTTCCCTGAGCCCAGTTAGTCCGGTGCCTGCCTCTGCCTGTGGCTCAAAGTGTCTATTTCTACATGGAACATTGCTATTTCTTTTCAGCTTATAAAATACTCCAGAGATCTGCTCATGTCTCAATACTTACTTAATAGGGGTTATTCAGACTGTTCTACGTTCTGCTCATTTGCAGATGAATGTTCAGCGCCTCTCCTTACCGAGGTCCTGACCCAGGAGCCGCACCGAGAGGTGCAGTTGGCGGTACTGACCCGACTACATTTTACTCTGTATGCTCGGGCATGGGTAACGTCACCCCTCCAGGGGAGGTCCAAGAGAGATTCCAACCTTTCGTCTTTATTAAAAGGACTGTTCATTAGCAAGAAGATGGGCTCATGTGACTTACACACTTAAAATGTCTTTTTTGGTATACCTTTTGGTGACAAACTACGTGTATCAGGGATAGGAGGGGAGAAAGGAGAATGTTGAATTCATAAAAATCTACAACCAGCTCATAAATAACAGAACATCGCTGTACTTTTTCATTATACTTTGTGAATAACTTTAGGTATTTAAGTTACATGGAAAGTGGCAGGAGTAATATTTGTGAGACATTCATATCAAGTTTTTAAATAAAAATTTAACATGGGAAAGTGCAGATTAAGGGGAAAATCCTTTCTGAAGGGTTCAGATGGTAAAATGAAGTAAGCCAGTGGATTTCTCAAGGGAACATGATATACTAGAGAGTTTATGAAAGTTTGTGATTTGCCATAATCCATCTTGTGCTTTTTACTAGAATTTGAAAATTACTCAGAGGAACCATACTTTCACTCACTATCGATGTGTCAATGCTGGGAATATGTTTTTGACTGACTTTGTCGCTACTGACTTTCTGGAAAAATTATTAGTGGGCCGTTCTTAAATTCTCCCCTAATATTTTATTCTTTTCTGAGATGCTATTGATTTTATTTTCCTGAACACAATTTTATATGGCAATATCTGTGCAGAAGCAATTTGCTACGGTTCAAGGAACTAGATTCTTATGGGCATTTGTCTTCACAATGTGATTACAGAGTCACTAACTTGATCTTAATAACATTTGCCTGTTATAGTGTATTAGATGCATGAAAGGAAAACAGTGCTTTGTAACTCAGAGACTTACCCTTGTGTATCTTCCTTAGTTAGCAATGCCTTGCAAAATTAATGTCCAGGTGATTTTGAGTGGCTATTTGTATTATTTGAAGCTAGTTAGGATTTAATCCAAATATTATCACCAATGTTGCATGCAGGGAGGGAATTACTTTTTAAATATACTTTAAGACACATTTAAACCATTGATGGGCAACATTTTATAAACTAGCCATCCTGCACTTAAGCAGATGCTGTTTTTACTCTGCTCTGGCTGCAGGAGGCAGCATGATACCAAAAGCTTAGAATCTACAGTCAGAGAGCAGTGGGTAGCCTCTGGCTGCTTTATTACATCTGTGTGAACCTGGGCTGTGCCAATCAACCCTCTGACCCCAGTCTCCTCATCTCTTCAGGATGGATGGACATAGCAGCATCTCTGTTTCAGTTTCCTACTTAAATATTATAACTGCTCCTCCTCACTAAAAACCTATGTTTGTTTTTAAAAGATTTCCCCTTTTCTTCTTCAAGCAGATAGGAGTCATGTACAAAGATAACCCTGTCCACAAAAAGACTTGCATGAAATTATTACTAGTAGCTTTATTCATAATGTCCCCAAACTAGAAACAACTCAAGTGTCCACCAGTAGGAAAATGAATAAGCAAATTGTATCGCCTTCATGCAATGGAAAACTATTCATCAGTAAAAGGAGAAAAAAAACAAAAAACAACTGATCCATGCAACAACTTGGATGACTCTTACAGACATTATGTTGAACAAAAGAAGCCAGACCCCAAAGAGGGTATATTGTCGGATTCCTTTGACATGAAGTTCTAAAACCAGCAAAACTCCTTTATTGTGATAGAAATAAATCAATTATCTCTGAAAGGAGGGTTTTAATAGAAAGGAGTGTGAGAGAACTTTCGGGGATGACAAAAATGTTCTCTCTCTTGTTTTGGGTCAAAACTGGTTGAACTGCACAATTAAATCAAGTGTTTTATTGTGTACAAATTATACTTCAATTCAACTAAAAGACAACTCACCCATCCGTTAAGTGTTTAATTTTCTAATGACCAGTTTTTGGGCTTCTCAGGATGCAGTGACCATCTGTACTCTGGGAATTGGAACGGCCTTTGGAGAGTCCATTCTGGACAACACACCCCGCCATGCGACCATCGTTACCAGGGAGAGCAGTGAGCTGCTCCGCATCGAGCAGAAGGACTTCAAGGCTCTATGGGAGGTGAGCCCCAAGGCTTCTTTGTCAATTAATGTGGTTGTGGAAAAGAAAAGGAGCTGCCACATGGATAATGGCATTACAATCAGGCCTTAATGTGTTCTGTTCTGAGCTGGGGGATGGAATTTAATTTCAGAACTTGTTTTTGAAATGAGTGAGTGAAAAAGCCATTTTGATACAAGACATCCTTTTTTTTTTTTTTTAATTTAGTGCTTGCTCAATTTTCTGTAGTTTGACATACCTTATAATTATTTCTTGAATGACCATAGAGTGTTTTATGTATTTCCTCCCTCCTATTCCACAGATGTATTCTTAACCAGGGAACAAAATACTTTGACATTTTCTTTTGCATTTTAAAAATCATCACTGACATGTTCCCTGGTAAAGTGGAATGAATGGGGTTAACATCTGCTTCATTTAAATGCTTTTAAAAATGATGTGTCCCATAATAAGGTATGGGAAATGAAGGACATGGAGATGTCTGGTTACTTGCCAACTTCAAAATGCATAGGAGGCACAGCGGTGGATGGATGCAACTGGTCCTGGTGGCTTTTGCATTTACTGCTGCTTACCAGCGCCCCTTAGGGTACTGCACTCATTTACAAGAAGTACGGGGAATAAATCATCGTATATGCAGTAATGGCAAATGGAACACTTAGAAAGGCCCAGCTAAGCCTTGCATCTTTCACGCTCGTTCCTTTTCAGTTCTTCAAGCTTCTGATTTTAACCTGTGGTTGTTCCTTATCTTTGTCCTGGGCTCAGTATGTCCAAGTGTTAACCCATTGAGCTGGCAGGCTCCACCACTTGTCCCAGTGTGGCAAAGATTTTAAACTTGATCTAAAAAGAATTTTGTGTAATCAAATAGTTTCCTCCAGAGCCAAACAAATGACAGATGCATTAAGGGAGCAAACCTGCCGGTGAATGAGTGATGCTTTGCCTTGAAAGTCCTGCAAAGCCTTGGAGGGCCTTGGTGGTGGAACCTGTTACTTTTATTCTTGGCAGTAGTGAATAAATTGCGGGGTTACTTGTTTGAAATGTTTCTCTTAGAAAATATTAAAGAGCTCCCACTGCTCTGTAAAGTTCAGAGACAAAAGCTAGTTTTAGGAAAGCCAAGCTGAAGTAGGTTTGCATGAGGTGTGTGTGGAGAGGTTTTCTGTCAATTAAAAGGGACCAAGCTCGAGGCAAATAAGCCATTTTTTGGATCTTTCATTTTTAAAAGGTAAACTGAAAAACTCTGTTCCAAAAAGGAAATTCAGCAAACTGGTTTAAGAACAAAAAAAAAAAAAAAGATTTCTACCTGTGATGTGTGTCATTATAACTGCTTTTTTTTTTTTTTTTGTCTGTGATGACTGATTCAAGTTGCTGAAAATGATTTAGGGAGACATTAAAAACTTATTTTAATTAGGAGCCCTCGGTGCTGTGAAGGAAGTTCCTGAGGAGTTGCTACCTGTGAACATTAAAAAATTATTTAAAAAAATTTCAAACCTATCAGAAAATCAAATAATACAATAAACACCTGTGTACCCACACTTGGTTCAGCAATTGTTAACATACAACCATATTTACTTAGTATTTGGTTTTTTTGGAACCACTTTAATGTACATGACAGACACCATGACATTTCATCCTAAATACACAGCCTATTTACCTGAAAAATTAGAATATTCTGCCACATTCTGAGAGTACCATTATTTCACCTATAAAACTATCAAATATCATCGAATATCAAGTCTAGAGTTCAGATCTCCCCAGTTGTTCATAATAACATCTGTTTTCCCCCCCAAATCAGGCTCAAATAAGAAAGCATGTATTACATTTGATTGTTATGTCTAAATCAGTCTCCCTGTCTCTCTCCCTCTCTTCCTACACCTCCTTTCTTTATCTTTCTCTTTCTCTCTCTCTCCATGACATTGACTAGTTAAAAAGGCCAGGTCAGTTTCTCCCAAATTCAAGAGCTGTCTGATTGTTTTCTCTGATGTCTTTTTTGTACCCCCATCCCGGGGCTTTCTGTACATGGAAGTTAAGCTAAAGACTTGATTGCAACAAACCAAATGATTTTGGCAAGAAAACATCAAAGGTGATAGCCAGTATATTGGGAAGCTCATAATGTCTGGTTGCCTCACTATTAGTGATCTTGGTCAGATTGTATCTGAGTATATTTTAGGGCTGTTGTCCACAAATACTTCCATTAGAGAAAAATTATTAAAAGGGGGTATTGGTATTGAGGGTGGTCCTTGGTATCCCAAACATTGCCACATGATTTTGCAGCTCCGTGGGTCCAATCCCTCATCTTTAACCTCAGAGCATGAGTTCTGATCCCCTCTGCCAGGGACGTAAGTGAGGTGGAAGGGATTGATAGAGGTTTTAGTATGAACTCTTCTTTTACTGATGGGGAATGGGAATCTCATAATGAATAAGAGATTAGTCAGTATTCCATTTTATTTGTTTGCTCATTTACCTAAAAGTACAGGGTTCAAATTAGGTGGTCAACCAATTTTTTAAGCAAAATGAAATCTGTGTTAATCAGAAGCTTATTAATGTGCATACTTGTGCATATACAGTACATGATAATCCTAAGAAACTGTAAAATTCTAAAGTGCCTTTAAAATTTTTTTTATCCTCGCCTGAGGATATGCTTATTGATTTAGAGGCAGCAGAAGGGAGTGAGAGAAACATCAATATGAGAGAAAAACATTGATTGGTTGCCTCTTATATGTACCGTAACTGGGGACCAAGCACGCAACATAGGCATGTGCCCTGACTGGGAATTGAACCCTCAGCCTTTCGGTTTACAGGACAATGCTCCAAGCAACTGAGCCACACTGGCCAGGGCTGAAGTGCTTTTTAAATAGAAAAGATTGAATTATGTTTATTCTACTGTTTATTTATTCAGCAAACACTTTTGAGTATCTCCCGTGTGTCAGGTTTAGCTACAGCAGTGAGCAAGATTGACAGAGGTCCTGCTCTCTCTCAGGGCAGGAGCTTCTGTTCTACTTGGAGGAGACAGAAAACAAACTAGCAAGTCAATGGTATTGTTTCAGAATGCAATGTGTCATTATCATTAAATAAATTTTATCTCACTTCTTTAAATATTGGCAATCCATCGATGGCATGTGTAGCACTGATCCGCTAATAAAATATTTGATAACTGAATTCCTTGATTATGTCAAATAATAGAGTTTATATTTCAGCTATTCATTATACCAGTAAAAAACCCCCTCAAATCTGTTAGCAAACCTGCCAGCTGAATACCAAAAGGGAAAGATTGTAAAAAAGGGAGGGATTGCTTAGCCTCAGAACTCAGGTGGAAGCCTCGGCGAGCCATGCGATGGCAGGAAGGGGCCGTGAGAAGGTCAGCTGCGTAAAGCCTCTCCTGTCAGCAAGGGAAGGGCTCAGAGTTTGGCTATCAGTTGCAAAGAGTGAAAATTAAATAACCTGGATCATGAGCCTAAATTTGCATGTTCTCCTCATTTGATTATTTACTTTTGAGGATTGCCATGGTTGGTCAATTGTATGGCGAGCGACCTCGTATTTTGCTTTCTATCCTTATTTATATCCTTGATGTCACTAAAAGGGGCTGAAGGATAAAACACAAGGCCCAGGATTCTGGGTTACTTCTCACTCTGAAAATTATGGTCCCTAATCACTAATGGGTAGCACAGTCTAAAAATAGCTCTTTAATTGGCTGAGCAAATAGTCTATTTTAAGCCTTACACTTGAACTTCAGTGGCAACACAAAACTTGGGAATCCTGCTTCCTTTGCTGACCAAGGGCAAATTTCCTTGGCTCTCCACAGTTGGATCCACACTCCTTATGAGAGAGCCCCATATGAGATTTTGAATCCTGTTCAGTTTCATCCCAAGCACCTCTTGGTTTATATTGTCTATTATGTTGTAAGTCAAATTGAGAGTACCCAGAATATTTTTTAAAAATTATCATCATAAATGAGACCAGAAGAATTATTCAGTAGTCTCTACAAATGCATCTAATAAAAGAAATACTCCCCAAAATATAACTGAAGTAGCAGCTTGATGCTTACCTTCATTCCCTGTATCTTTTCTAATACAGAATACTTTCTTTTTTCCTCTTTTTCTATTTTTCAGTTTCCAATTTGCAGTTGGATTTGAGGGCGCTGGGATGATCCACCTAAAATTTAGATCATATTTGCCTAAATTAAGTGACTTATTGGAAATTTATTGAGAGTTGGTCAATAATGCTTCCCTCCTTTTACACCTCTTTGATATTAGAACTTAATACAATATATTAACCAGGGTATAAAACATGTCATTTTTGAGCAGTATCTCAAGAGAGAAGGAAAGGGAGAGGGAGAGCGAAGGAAGGAGGGAAGGAAGGAGGAAAAGAGAGAGAAAGAAGGCAGTTATGTTTCTTGATTTTGTTCAGGAGAAAATTAATTGAAAAGTCTTGGAATATCATTTTTAGTTCTTGAGACAATTATAATTTAAACTCTTTGACACTAGTGACATTGAATAGCCTCAGGAAGGAGGTTAAATGGCCAAGCAGTTATGTGTAGGCTTGGGAGTTTCAAGCCAGTTATTAATATTTGATTCAAAATTATGAGTATTTATGATTGTCAGTGGCTCTTGGAATAAATAAAGGACTGATTTACTGTCCAATTCCATGAATCTCTTCCTAGCACATATAAAAAGGTTTCCAATAGTTAAAACAACACATGAGGGATTATTTTGCTTTCTTTTTGACTTTCTGCCTAATGTGTCTGTATGAAGATACTCTTAGGTTTGCAGCATGTTTGACATCTTTATGTGGACTATTTCAAATACACGACATTGAATGAGGAGATGAGTCCAGTGTATTCCAGAAGTAAATTAGAGAGGCACTCTCGAATAAATCCATGTAAGATGCTTCTGAGAGGACCTTGGACTAGTGGTCTACCACCTGCTTACCTGTGTTTCAATTGCATGAGCATGATTCTGGACAAAAACTTTTCTTTATTACGAGCCCTATTTTAGCATGTTCAAAATAATTAT